GGCGAAGGGCAAGTGCACCAACTGTTTGTTTGATGACAGGAGATATTTCGTTTTGTCCTTCTTCACTACCATACCCATTGGCGTTGCTTCCTTACCCAGTCTAGAGAAAGCACAGCACACGGCGCGGCTGCTGAGGCCTATGATATCAATGCCATCGGCAAACCCCAACAGTTGTACACTCTCGTAAAATTTTATACTTAGTCTTTTTAGCTTCGTATTTCTTTATTGAAAGCAATCACATGATAAAAAGTCATACTGTGCGAAGCCTTGTTTGGCCCCTAACGCCTGGGAGAGGTCCTTCATAATTCTGACTGCGTCTCTGTTGTTGTCACAGACTAAAAGGTACTACACTTTTAAGGTTGTAGTTGTTGTTCTTGTGGGGGCTTTTCCAGCACCGCTAAGGGACAGGCTAGTTAATCCAAGTCACTGAGGTCATCTAACGTAAGGTCGAGTAAACGAGATTTTTTTGTAGAGTACACATTAGGTATGTCGCAGTCGAGTCTGGATAGGTATAAGTTTAACCTGCTGTAATATCCAGTTGCGCTAGTATTACGCGGAAATCTCGAGGCAGCTCGAATTTGGCATTCACAGGGAGAGAAGTCTTAAATGTGTTGACTCCCTACGGTAGCAACCTAGCAGGAACTACTTGCAGCAAAGCATTATACTCATTAACTCGCAGCAAATGTATCGTTCAGGTGACATCAGGAGGTTTCCTGTCGCGCTCCTGAGAGCGATGTTTTGGCTGGCCTGTAACTTCTCTACACTTCCAATCGTCGGGTATGCTTATGTACGGCCATATTCTGCAAAGCATCAGATGCAATCACCTTGTCAATTCATTGCCGGCCGGCTGGTAAACCATCGGCTTCAGCCACTTTGTTGTTCTTTAATCAGGAAAATTCCATTCGAACTCCGTCAACCGATCGATTAGGACTTCGCTTTCGCTACCATTCAGCCGGATGAACAAGAGCTCTCCCCATACACTAAGTAGGGATGTACAGATTAATCCTTCACCAGATTATCTTCTTGGTATCTTCATGAATATGCTGCGGTCTTGAAGTCTTGAAACTTTCGCCGTCTTGTTTTTTGTCAGTATTTGCGTGTTGATTTTCTCTTTGTTCCCGACATCCACTCTACCCCGCACGAGTTGTAGGCTACCGTAACGTTGCGAGGCTGTTGTAGCGACGGTTTGAAGGGAGTATGAGATGCCGTTTTAGAAATCAGCTGCGCAAGTCGAGTAGGAAACCGTTCGCGGTCTGTTGCACTAAGCACAATCGACCTCCTATATGGACATACATACATGTATGTACATGTATGTATATTACTAATAATCGTGAGGTATTATATAATATACATTTGATCCAGTTTCTTTTAAATGCTTATCTACATATGTATGTACATGAATGTATAAATGTTTTTATGTAAGTCAGAGTTAGGCATGCGCACCTAATAACTGTAATTTTAGGCAGGAGCGCATGCGCCTTCACCATAAGACCACTACTACTACTATTCTTGGAGATGGTCTATAAAGCCACTAAGCCGTCAAGCTGTGACTGCAAATATGCACGGAATTTTTATTTTTTAGTATTTTAACACTTATGTGCATGTTAATCATTTAAATATGCATTTTAACGCCAACAGACGCATAACTAGTAGTATCAAATATGCAGGTCAACCCCATTACAGCCCTAGGAAGTAGCCAAACACTCCCATTTCGTTGCGAAATGTGTATACCCTTACATGAGTAACTACAGTTGGGTACATGCGAGTACATACATAAATATGTACAACTGTCCGATTAGGAGTTGCTCACATTACGCACTTCACTCATAATCTGTAATGATACATTAGGGAGGTACACACTTCATAAATATGACTCTCAAGCGATGTGTGCGTGTGAAGTTTCCATATGCGGTATATTGTATTATATATACAGTTTCCAGTTACGGTTATCCATATTGCGCTTTCGAAAATAAACGGAAATCAAATGCATTTAAAATATTTTTTTCATGAAATTCCTTTTGCATTATAAAGTTTGAATCTTTTTGGTTAACAAATGTTCAAGAGTGAAAGGTTTATCCGCATAAGTACAGTCTTTCGCGTAGCCCCGCAAAAAAATTCAACGGTGTCAAATCAAATCGTGCGATCTAGGTGGCCGATTGACATTGCCTAGACCTAAGATTACACGGCTGAGAAATTTCTCTCGCAATAAAGCCGTATTCGCTCATATTGTGTAGCATGTGACACCATCTTCTGACACTACATACATATTTTTATTTGCAGGCAAAAAACAAAAAGTCGGTTACCATACAAGCATAGCATTTCGATATTGACAGTGACGGTCTCACCTTAATATTTTTTTAAAAAAGAAAAGTACAATTACACCTCCGAATCAAAGAGCCACACATACTTACATTTCCTACATTGCTTGTACCCGGTAAGACCTATATTAAAACATAAGACGCCAAAAGGCAATGTCCTGATAATAGTCCTATCAGCAGCTGGAAGTCCGACCTCTTAACAGATAGTACAAACTTTGCAAGTTTAGCAACATAAGTTTTGCACATAGTTTTCGCAATTCTGCAGCTTTTTACTCGTGTTCCCAGAGTGCTTTCGACTGACGATTCCTTTTCTGGATTCCCCCTTAGCCAATTTGGCTTTGAATGAGTAAATGTAAACTCTTCCATTTTCAGACAGTGGTTGAGTCACCTCTTTACACAGCTGATTTCCTAATGTCTGAAATTAAGGCCTTTATGGCCGTTTGGTTATCCACATAAATCTGTATTCTTTTCCTATGAAAGTCAGCACTCTTCAGTAGCTCGTGAGCAAATTTTTTATGGCAAATATTTAAGCTTGGAAGATATTGAAATAGTTCCGGGGCTTATACGACTCCTTTAACTCCTGTTGGGCGGAGTAAACTGAAGCACCCACTCCTTCGTACATTTTAGAACAATCTGTAGAAACGTGAAAAGCTTTGTCTGCATAATTCAGACCTTTGCTCCAGCCACTTACCTTTTTTGCAGGTGAAAACAGCTTACTGAAATTCCTGACTTTCGGCACCCGGGAATGCATTTAGCCTTGCAGCAGATAAGAATTATATGTTTTTAGCTATCAGGTTTGCTATGCCTTCTTCAATCGCTCCTCTAAATTGAGTCTCCACGACAACTTGCTGTCCAATACAATTCCCAGATATTTAGTGCTAGGCTTTGAATGTAAAGTGTCCTCTACCAGCCTTGGCTGGATTCAAGCTGGACCTTTGTGTTTCCTTTATCAGTGTTACCCCTAAGTGCTGCTAAATAGCCCAGATGTTTATGGTTCTAAGTGCCTGATTCGCCAGATAGCCGAGGGTTTCCCAAACACTTATCGCCCACTATGGCTGAGTTATTATACGCATAGACTGTTAGAATGACAGCTCCTCCATCAATCTTCTTTAGTAAGTATTTAACCGCAAGGGTTCAGTGTAGAGGTGATAGCATTCCACCTTGTGGAGCTCTCCTACATATATCCCACGTCACGTCGTTTGAATCCAATTGCGCTTGTATTTTCCTGCAGCTTAGCAAGATTGAATACATGCAATCCCTAAAGATAGGGTTGACTTCTGTTAAGCCTTACTTATGCGTTAAGAAATATTTAAACTCGTTGATGAACGCTCCAGATATGTCGCTCTTCCTAAATCATCTTCGCCATTTTCGAGAGGCGTTTCTAATTTCAACACGACATTATGCAAACTTATGTCTACAGATTTACCCTTTGTGTGGGCATGTTTGTGCAGTTTGTTTGATGTGAACATCAAACGCTCCAATGATTTTAAAGGAAACGAAGTTAAGCTGCTTGGGCGATAGTCCTTAGTCCCTTTGCCTACTTTGGGCAGGAGTTCTATTCTCTTCGGTAGTCATGAGATCGGGACGTAGCTTCGCAGAGTTTGCTTACAAGTTTTAGAACTCCGTCACCGTCACCGGCTCTTCGAAGCATAACCAGAAAGATTCCATAAAAGCCAGGATGTCTGCACTGCGCTTCTGATCTTGTCTGGGTCCACTATGTCGCCCACGTTTCGGGTTTTTTTTAGCTGGTTACTTTTGAATCATAACATAAGGGCCACCTTAATCAGTGTACATATACATTTTTAAATATATGTATGTACATACATAGTGCTTTTTAATCAATACGAGCATGGATGTATGTATGTATGTATATGAACACGTTATGTATGTACATATGTACATAGCATGCATATTCATGAGTCTGCACTTGCTACATAACATACATACATACATGTGTCTAAATTTCTTAGCCTTTATGGAGAAGCATGCCACATGGTGTGGCATATACATGCCATGTCTATCTACTGGCAAATAACAAAATCCGGACAAAACCATTTTGATCAAATCGTCCAAGAGCATGACATATATAATTTGAGTTTTCTTTTCTTTTATTTTTCCTGCCTCAAGCTTTTCCTAATAACCGGTAAACCCCCTTTTGGCCTATTTTATCAAACGGCAAAGTTATGCATACACACATACATACATATATGTGTTTGTAACACACAAATTAGATAAGTAAAACACAAAAAAAAAACATGCTCATCCAGTATCCGCCTGAGCTAATGAAAACCGTGAAATGCCGTTAGATGCCCAAGCGCGAAAGTGTAACAGCACCTTTTTTGTCGAGACAAGTACATGCGTGGAGCGATGCACTTTGCTTCCTCGTGTATTAGGATAAGGAAGCAACTAACAGTATTTCGTCTTTGGCAATTGTGATTGGGTTGCACCAAATGGTTCGACAGATATTGTGTTAATTTTGCTCGCATCGCGATTATTGCCTTCGATTATTCAGCGAAATGAGTTGGTATAAAAATAAATCAGCCCGCCGTTGTGGCACATTCGACGTCGCAGCTTGGACAAGTGAAATTGTCATTGAAATATTTGATTGCCAACGGATAAAATCGTTTAATAATTTTTAGTTTGAGACAAATTGTGTACGTGTTTGCTGGAAAGTTCGTTGAAATGCGTTTTCTAAAGTCACTTGTGAGTTCTTAAAAATTAACTTAGGGATACAGTTAATTTATGTGTGTCCTATTGTGTTTTAGAGCATTTTCTCAGCGCTCAGCTTCTGGGTGAATGGGCTGATGGGACAATACATCTTTGAAATTCCAACGCCTCTAGCTCATTTGCAAACACTGCAGTATGCACCACAACACCAGCAACATCAGCAGACGCAGCAGCAAAATCATTTACAACGCCAAGCACGCACACCTTATGGTTTGCCGCCGCCCGGCATGACGCGTCCACAACGTTCTTTGTATGGCGGCTGGGGCCCTGTAGGTCTGGGCTCAGTTGGATTTGGGCCCATAGGTCCGGTTGGATCGGCTGGTACTATTGGTATTACGAAAGAAGAGTTGCTCGCACTTCTCGAAGCTTGGAAGGAGGTTGAAAAACCAGCACCAGAACCAGCACCTGAGCCAGAACCGGAACCAGAGCCTGAACCGGAGCCAGAACCAGAACCAGAACCAGAGCCTGAGCCAGAGCCAGAACCTGAGCCCGAGCCAGCCGAAGAACCTGCACCAGCACCTGCACCGACTGGTGCTCAGCCTCCACCACCAGGTGTACCACTTACAGTTTCCCTACCTGCATTCGTACCCATACAACTGTCAGCCATGTATACAGCTCCGGCACCACCTGCAGCACCAGCAGAAGGAGGCGGTGGCGCTGAGGGAGGTGCTAGCGCTGGTGGTGGCGGAGAAGAAGGTGGCGAAGAAGAGGGTGCTGGCGATGGCGAGGGCGGCGGTGAAGGGGAAGGGGCCGAGCCAGAGCCAGAGCCCGAAGAAGAAGCTGCACCCGAGCCGGTGCTCGGCGGTTTGGAGCATGGTCATCACCACCGGTTTGTTTATTTAACGCGTACACCTTTTAAGCGCACAAGACTGCTCACAAAAAATGCATCTACTCGGTGAGTTTAAGTAGCAGCGATGTTTGTTTTCTTTTCAATACTTAATTCCATTTTATTTTATTTTTTTTTTACTCTTGGAACATTTTCAGTGCGTTCAAAAGTACAAAGACACGGTATGTAACATGATTATTTCGCATGTATTATTTAATCTCTATTTTTGTTATTGTTTTTCAAAATTTTACAGCACACTAGCTAAAACTGGAGCTCGCAAAGCTAAGCCCGCTGGCAAAAAAGCCAAAGCAAAAGCAAAAAGCTTGGCAAAACCCAGAACTTCTAAATTTCCAACTATACGCTTCCCGGTGCCGAATGTCAGGTGAGAAAATGAAAAAAAAAGAATCTAAAGAAATTTTCTTAAAATAAACCTCAATGGCTGAACATAAATCTTGTTTACTTAACTTCCACTCTTAAACTAAAACTACTGTGATTTCAGGCAATATGCTTCCACTAATTTCATCGCGCCCAAACCGAGGTGAATATATTACACAGTCCACACCAAGGTTGAACATTAAGACTTATGAAAATATTTCTATCTCTTTCTAGAAACACGCGACCTCAACATCGTGTCAGACCAAGGTACATTAAACTAACAAAATATTGCTTTATTGGTTTTTAAATATTTATTTTTACCAAACCAGAAGCTTTACTGCACTTCCACCACCACCATTTCTCGCCAACGCTCCCGGACCATTGAAATTAGTGCCATCTTCTGAGCTGCTAAGTAATTGGACCTAGTCTAAGGAGAAAGCTCAAAATACTGGAACTTTTGAAATTGAAATATTAACATTTATACAACCATATAAATAAATACCATATTGAAAAAAAGTTTAGAAGTTCTTTGGGTAGATTGACAGATTACAGAGCTTTAATAGCATTTGAACTGGTCTTCAGATTTTTAAGCCCAGAACAATTGAGCACATTTGCTTACAGCTGGCAAATAGCCAAAGATAACATATTAACCCATGAACTAAATGTACACAACTCTATTTTCTAATTTTCTCTAATAAAATCCATCTATTATCCTTCCAACATTGATGTTGTCGACCCATTAGAGATTATCGAAATACTTCTCAAACTCGTTTTCAGCGATGCGATGTCATCTGACGACCTTTAAAAGCTCTCTTTCTCGCATTTGAACTTAAAGGTTGTACTCCTTGTTGACAGCTTAGTCTGGTGTAAAGAATTCGTATTCCTCTATACCGGTAAAATAGCAGAACTCATTGAGAAAAACCTTCACGTTCGACCGCACTTGTCTTGACGAGCCAGAAAGCCTTTACTGCGATAATTGAGCCTTAGTTCGACGTCATAGAAGCAGACTCAAGATGATTAAGATCCCGTGCAACTAGACCAGACAGTTGTGGCCTAACGTTTACGCGAAAATATCAAAACATCTCATTCTTCGAGACAGATACTTCAACAGCCATAATAACAGGCCATGGTGTACTGGGGACGGGAAAAGTATGAGCTACCACTCTCATGAGTTTTGCTGCAGCTGCAGGGACGACGAAGAGGAGTCTATTGAACATTACCTCATGCACTGTCCAGCCTTGGCATCTGCGCGATACAAATTCATCTTTTAACTTATTTAAATCAATTTTCAACAACTTTTGGATGTAAGTCTTAGCAGGATTTGATCCCGGGCCTTCCGAATGGCAGTACGCAATAGAGGGCTACAAACTACAGTTGTTTAAAAGGTTTTTCAAATGCATTGGTTGGCTGAAAATCCTTTAAAATTTTTGTATTCTCATTAAAGATTTAGTTTTTGTATGGAGTCCCCAGCTGGATTCCCCGTAATCTGCTATTAATTCCAACCTATTTGCGAAGCAGAGAACTGAACTCTCTTAAGGAGAATTACAAAATTGGATGGCGTAATTAAATAGATTCTGAGTAGAGCTTTGAAAAAGTTATTATAGAAAAATAAACCAATCTAAAACCATTACGGGTTCAAAGGAATGAAACGCCTCAACAAATTATACCCGTAGACTGAAATTCAAACCAAGTCTTGCACTCAACTAAACACCAAGTGTTATTATACATATATAACGAAAGAGCTCTTAATACCGAAGAACTGTCCAACCAACCTCACATCTGTTCGAGCATCGGGCAAAAATGCGTTGTCGGTCGCTCTTTTTGCCATAAACTTAATTGAGACATTTTTATGCGTTAGTGAATTGGCTCAAACAACCTGAACGTGGAGACGAACTGAACTGAGTAGAGCTGAGCAGTACAACGCGCCGTGCGCTATCGTAAAATTGTTAAAAGGATTGCCTGCTACGTCCAAAGTGACGTGCGTAAAAGGAAGTCAAAGCTTGGGCCGAATTCTTTTTTCCCAGAAATGAACCAAATGAAAGACGATGACGAAGACGATAACTTACGTGTACGTGTATGTACGTATGTGATACGTACGATGTGAGGCCTTTGGCGCAATAGTGAGGTGCGTATTTGCCACACGACGATGACGACGACGACGACGACGACGACGGCGTAAACTACAACGACAGCTACTAAACCAAATTCATTTGTAATTCAATATTGTTCAACAACAGCAATTGCCGCCGCACTTTCGTCGACTAGCATTTCGCAAGCTACTTTATGAGGCTCTATCTGTTATTGGCTTTGTATTTTGTGGGCATGCGCGACACTCCGTGTGACACTCAATTATGAGTTTTCAATGCGAAACGCCACTGTCTACGCGTCGTTGGTCGTTGCTGCGTTGGTCAACTTTTTCGGATCATTTGTTGGTACCACGCTGCGTTGCCATAAATCAAACCTTTTTTGCAGCCACCACGCGCTCCGTAAAGGTTGAATGGCACACACACACACACATATGCACATGCACATATATATTTATATGTCTATTTATGTATTTATTCCCATACTCGTTTGTATGTATGTGAGTTTAGTCAAGTCAAGAAAAGGAGAGTGAGTTTGCACGCCGCCTTCAATTCGTTAGATGACAATGCGTAATGCATATACGTGTATGTACGAGTATGTGTGTATTTATGAATGTATACTCAGATATGCATGTATGTATTTGCTCACATATGAATATATAATATTTGGGTCAAAATGCAGGTTACATTTTGTAATCACCCTTTTTGGTGACTTTTCTGTTTGGTCGCACACTTAAACGCGCACTTTTTGGACCGTCTCGCGTTCCCATGGCTATTGGCGCTTTTTGTCGGCTAAAAGGGATAGACACTGATTGAAATCATCGCATGATCAACTTTTTGGATAATAATATTCAATTTTCCTTCTTTGGTGCCACGCACTTTCTGTGGTGGTTGTTGCCGGGAGATTTATGTTTGAATAAAATCGAAATTGAATTAAAAATAATATGACAATAATATCATAAAAAATACTATACATAATGGCGTGTATTGAGCGTGATCATTTCGGGCTTTGTTACTGTTGAAAAACCCCATCTGATTTGGATACTCTAACTGTATCGTGAAACTGCTGTTACTCTCCCGCCGGCTTGGAGATAAAAACGCTAAAATATTTGGGCAAATGTATGGCGGGTCGAGAAAGTAGTTAACAACACTAAAAAAAAGAAGGAAAATGGCTTTTCTTGACTCACTTTCAATTGGCTGAACATGGACCAATTTGAAACTTTTCGACTTGAACTACTTTTTAGTATTAGAATGGTAATAATATTCTTGTAACAGAAGCTGAGAAATGTTACCCATACACATGGCATTTAATATGTTTTGTTCAAGTCTCCTTCTATATCCACCGAGCCTTCGTATAGGTATACTGAGCCACCACAGCAATCAACCTTTTGAGAATTAACAGTGACGGAGTAACTGTTACTACGTCACTGCTTGGTCTGTCTACAAACCGTGCGAGTTCACAATAATTTGGTGGTTCGTCGTACTATGGCAGTATTCCAGGGCCTTAAGTGGTCCTTGATCCACTGCTTAAAATAATATTTGAGAAAGCAGTCGATGGTGACAGCCTCGCCAAGGCAAGCTAGCATTTACATTGCCTTACAGTGTGGCCGGACCCCAGTGATATTCACTGTGTGTACAAAGATCATATAGGGTTTTCCAATAAAAGATGTTATTTCGATATTAGAAGAAACTCTTCAGTTAAAAGATCGATGGTTTCGTTTCTTGTGTGGCACGTAGGCCGTCTTGTTGAAAGTAAACGCTGTCCAGATCAATATCATGCATCATAAAAAGCACCAATTCATTTTCGAAAAAACTAAGGTTCAATTACCCGCCGCAACAAACAGTTACTCGTTGGGCTTGGGTCAAATAAGGCCGTCGTCAAACATAAGTAAGGTTCGACGTCGAAAAGCTGCAATCACAACAGACAACCAAACGGTTTTCTCTCGTTCTCTCTTAGAGCACTCATCTGCAACTTGATATAAGGGAACTTGGGAACGTCATCTCAAACTTCCTACGTACCGCCACTACGGAAACAATTAGTGATCAAAACAGACTGCGTACCTAGCAAATCTGCCATCGACCACACCACGTACGTACATGGAGCTGCAGAGGGAAGATGCACGCATTTGTAGGCAAAAAAAAAAATAGGCCTAAATGCAGGAGTATGAAGAGCTTGAGAAGCTGACCGTCAAGGGTAATGCACTAAAATGATACGAAAAGATACGGCGACATACGCAAGGTTTCAAGACCGGTGCAAACACTTTTAAGACCCAGAGGGGGAGATACCAATTTTCCAGTCTGCTGAATGGCAGCGAAAGTGAAACACCCGGAGATGGTAAATCTAAAATCCCAATCGATGACTCTCTACCCGACTATGACGAAGTTCGAATAGCGATAGCCAGCTAAAGAACAACAAAGCGGCCGATGCTAACGTACTGCCATCAGAGCTATTCACATATGACCGTGAAGAGCTGAAATGGTGAATCCATCAGCTGTTCGGATGAAATCATGCCCGACGATTGAAATTTAAGTGCGCTCTGCCTAATCCATAGGAAATACATGGTCCAGAGAATCAACAAATAGCGGCTACGCTGGCTAGGTCATGTGGTGCGGAAGGATAAGAATGCTCCAGCTTTAAAAGTTTTCGGTGCAGTATCCGCTGGTGAAAACCGAGGAATTGGAAAGACGAGGTAGAGAAGGACCTAGATGTACGCGGTTTCTACGCTAGCAAAGAAGAAGAAGAATCTCGTCCCCAGAGCCTACTCACCTGACGAAAAAGTACTGCTTTTAGCTTCACTTTCCTGAATGAAACTGAAAGGGTCATTACTACGTCCTGCTCTAAAGAGACACCCTCCTTAGCAAGTCCGTCAACTATCTCTTTACCTTCAATGGTCAATGGCCGTGTGATATTGCACGCAGTAAAGGAATACTCTTCTGTTTTCGCACAAAACTTGAATCGCCTCTTTACACAGTACTACTTTCTTATACTTTGGGCGCAATAAACCCTCCCCCTGAGTTCCAACCAATACATTTTATAGGTTAAAAGAGAAATCGTCAGCTCGCATCAATTCTAATTTCTTCGCGAACTTCTTAGGATTCAAGCGGCCCGATGAATAAATCTTAGGGTAATTATGAACGTCATCTTTCCCCTTAACCTAAACATCCTCTCCTTCTTATAAAACTTTTTATGAAATTTATTAAACGAACTCATTTTGGATAAAAAAAATGGTTGCAGTACTCAGCGGAGCGAATGCGGAAAGCATTTATTGCTCTCCATATCAGCAGCGGAAAAGGGGCATATCTCATAAAATAGCACGTTGGCTTTAATTACTCCCTATGGAGTGATTGTCTGGTGGCTAAATACT